ATAAAACTTGAATTAAATGGGTTAAAGTTAAAGCTGATTTTTTCTCAATATTTATAAGAAATATCTCTTTAATTTAAATCGTAGAAATTTATCACTTGTTCAGATAGGGGACCCAATTTGAATATTCCTATCCCCTGTTAGCTGCCGCCTGCCAGCATAGCCTGGCTATAACCCAATTAGCTGACCTACTTCGAGGCGACATTAGCTAATTGAACAACAACGGCTCAATCCGCCAGATTAATAACAATATAGACACGCAGTGAATCACTGTAAAAGCCCAGCTAATGGAATTATAGACAAAAAATCAAAACTATAAATCTTAAAAACAAAAAAGAAAACATAACACACATGTGTACATGCATATATTTCCTTGAAAACAAAAGACAAATAAGAAAAAAAAAAAGAAATAGAAATAAAAACAACACAATTCACAATTTAAATAGAAATGGTTTTTGGCGAGGTCTTTACACATATCAGTCAGGGGGCGACGAGTGTCTGTCCATAATAATACATATAAATATATATATATATCTGTTCATATCCGAGTACATATGTATCTGTATCTTTATCTGTATCTGTATCAAGTACCTGAGCGCGTTGGCGTTGTAATAGATTGTTGTTGTTGTTGTTTTTGCTGGTTGCCGCGTTGTTGCTATTGTTGCCGCAAGCCCAGCCGCCGCTATCTAATTATTCAGATTTTTTATTGTAATATATATATATAGTTTGCTTCGCACAATTAAATGCTAATTGCGTGCACTTTCAATTGAACAATTTACATAACTTTTTGTTTGCTTTGTTGCCTCTTGGCGATTTGTCACATTACACAATGTGATGAATGCATTCTATCTTTTATATACATATCTAAATATATGTATTTCTTTTTTTTTTTTTTTTTTTTGAGAGGGTAAACAGACACAAGGGTTGGGGTTAAAAAAATAAAAAACAACAACGAAAACTACACGCTTTTTATGTTTCGATTAAGGGATTTCGGTTTCGGTTTCGTTTTCGGCTTTCGGTTTCCGTTTTTGTTCCGTTTGGATTCTGCTGCACTTGTAGATACCTCCTCTGTATCTGTATCTGTATCTTTATGCTGGACTTAGGATTTGCGAATTACGAATTTGTTGCTGCTGCAACGTGCGTTTAGCATTCAACAAACTGAAGCAGATTTTAGATACACACACACACACATACGAGCACTCGGACGTATCGAGAGTTTTCAACTTTTTCTTTTGCACTTGGGAAAAAATGTTTTTATCTGGCGACAATATATTCGCCAACGTTATTTTCTGCCTTCTGGCTTTTGATTTTGTACTTTTCCATCGACCAAGTGTTGTCTCTGCGTTTCATTTGGTTTTTCGTTCGCTTTTCCCTATGTATTTTTGTTTGTTGCGCGTCGTCGTGGAAAGCTGAACTACGTCTGACTGCTGCCGCTGCTTTATTTTATTTTTTTCGATTCGTTTTCCGTTTTTTTTTTTGTCTCTTTTTTTCTATTTAGCGGCTGCGTTCTCGGCGCACGCGCTCTCTGTTTTGCCACCACCACCACCGCCGGACACAGAGAGAGTGCCGCCGCTCTCTCTCCGGCAGGCCAGGTGAACCTTAGGGGGTTGCTTTGGGTGAGCGAAAGAGAGTGCTAGGGGGTTGGCGAATGGGCCACAGGGGAGAGAGGGCGTGAGAGAGAGAGAGTGTTGCTAAGGGTGGTTGGCGACTGCAAGGTTGCATTTAATGCAGCTATCGATTGAGGGGGTGGTTTAAAAGTTGCCAAACAGGGCTGCCAACTCAATGAACGAAGCAGCGAGTGGCATGCCATTGGATGAGACTTTAATTACAAAAATATTACTTAAAATATTTATTGAACGATTAATAATATTAATCTATCGATTACAAAAATATGAATGCTTCTTGACATGGCATACAATTGGAATAATAGGTAGAATCTAAATAAGGAAAACCTCTGACTTTATTTAAACAAATTATATAAAATTTGTAATCGAAAATATACACAAACTTTGTGAATCTATGGTACGTATTAATACCTAAATCTTTTAATACACTTATTTTTTAAAGAAATATTTTCATTTCATAAATTTTCTCTGAATTCCAAAATTTTAAACAAATAATTTAATGAAATTTAATTTTTCTTAATTACATCAATAATTTAAATTTTAATATTAAATAAATTGAATTTTACATTATTCAAAGAAACCAGAAAGAGTGGAGCGAAACTATAAATTTTACAACCCATACAATTTTTCCAGAACAATCGGTCTTTGCAATGCGGAAACGCTTAACTCCACGTCCAAAATTCAATTGATCTTTCATGTCGCATTTCTCATCTCTTGTAGAGATTGGATTTAAGACTCTTTAGAGGCAAAAATCCGACTGTCTTGTACATATGGTCCCTCTCTGGAGGTCTGGGCCAAAGCCAAAGCTAAACACATATTTGCGTCAATGCCGAATGGCTGAGGAAACGAAAAGCACGTTGTAAAAATAACACAAAACCAAGCCAACTGAGCAGCAATGAATGAACTGCGCCGCATTCGGCTTTCCCAATGATTTTCCCCTGCCTATATCTAATTTTACTGCGATCTATAAATACTAGCAAATTATCCGCTGTCAATCAGTATTCGGTCAAGTGTTTCTGGGCCAAGTGCAGCAGCCGACGAAATCAAAGAAAAGAAACGAAACAAAACGAAAAGAAAACTTTCAAACGCGCGGAAGAATACTATTAGAAATTGATTGCCATATCCATATGTACGCATATGGAGGCATGAATTTCAAAATATGTATATTCTTCATAAATAAGTATTTTTCTTTCTTTTCATACTTCGCGTTTCGGTATACAATCTATTACGTTCGACTAGAACACGTCAACTGAATTAGTTAATCAAGCAAAGTCGAAAGATAGCCACAAACTGCGCGACAATGAGTGGCGAAGAGAGAGCAAAGCTCCAAGACTGCTGTGCTCTCCCACTGTCTCTGCCTAAAAGTGAGAGTGAAAAAGCGTGGGCACATTCCACGCACACACACACACACACACGCTTACTCGAGTGTTGTGAGTGTGTGTATTGCCGATCTCTTCACTTGGGCTTCACATTTCATTGCGACAACACGGCGTATGCGTGTTGGCCCCGAAATATTGCGCATACGCAACCAGGTACATGTCAGATTTGCCGTTTTCCCTCGTAATTTTTATTGAATCACTGCTCATCTATTGTTCATCAAACGCCCACGCCAAATCTTATCTCGCTGATTCAATAAAATAAAGAGAGATTAGACATACTGACCTAGGGCCGGCTTCTACTCTCACTGACCAAGTGCCTGTTAGCTATCTGTCCGGAAAAGATAGTTACCAGATAAGCTTATCGTAAAGCAAATTGATTTCCTAGACTGATAAAATGTTTCAAAAAAAAAAAAAAAAAAAAAAACAGAGAGCTGTTAACTATGCTGTCAAACCAAATTTTATTAACCAATACTTTATCTGATCGAAAAACTTTGACAGGGAGGGTAAACTTAACCCTAAAAGGTAGTATTTTATGGCAAGTTTTATAATAACAACAATGAAGTGTTCTTCTAGTTTCTGTCACAAACTCAAAGACGTAGTTCATAATACTTTCCAGAAAAAAGTGTACAAAATAATACGAATAGACAGAGACACGCGCCAAAAGAGAGAACGCTTATTGCGTACTCTCTCATTCTCCGGCACTTCCTCTTGGTTTCTTTTCTTCTCCCTCTTCCTCTGGCCCTCATCTTTCTGTCTCTCTGACCAGTGGCGTTTTCGCGTTTGCGAGGGAAGAGCGACAAGCGAGCGCCCACGCCAAATCGTTTTCATTGTTAACTTTATTTTGTGCGTTTTGATTTAGGTAGAATGGAATAAATATGTATGGAATAAGTATGTATGAAGTCATAATATACATAGATATATGTACATTGGTGTAAACACAGTCTGGTTCAGAAGAGTAGCATTGATTTTGGAGTTTTTTCTTTAATGACAATATTAAAAATTGAAATTACCAGAATGGTAACCTTTAAGCTATATATTTTATGACCTTTTCAGTGTTATATTTTTTTTATTTTGTTACCTTATCTGTATTTTAAAGTTGGAAGATTATGTAGACAAATAAGGTAAAGTAGATAAAATTAAATATAATTGTTACCCATAAACGTGAGTATTTTTTAAAGTTTTTTTATGCAGATCCCTAACATAAATGAATTGTTTGAAGTGTCAAAAACAAATTATTCTGAGTAAAGTAGCTTAAATAAATAGCTTTCGAAAACTACAAAGGCATAGCTAGATCGATTCCGCTAAATACATTCCATTTTCATTCTACTTTGACTACATTTGATCCCCTACAAATTGGGCAAACTATTCTTTTAATATTACAAATTCTTCAATAAAAACGAAAATTAACTTAAAAATTTAATGGATGACATGAAAAGTCAACGAAACGAAACAGAAATTTTCAGCTTGAAGACATTTTCAGCAATTCCACAGGCCACTTGGCATAGATATTCGGATACGAAGAATCAGATACGACAGAAAATATACAAAAAAAAAACCCCACACACATGGCATGAATGAAAATATTTGTTGTAAGCTTTACTAGAGGTATTTTTAATATTTTAATTTCTGAGACCATGCCACGCTTCGTGCCTTTATGGGGCAAGCTGGGATTGTGGGTTCCGTTGTTGACTTTTGACTCGAGTTGACGTTGCCAAGAGCCGGAAATGAGGGGGGGGGGCGTACCCCAAAAACATTAGTTTCATTAGTGAGGTAACTTTGTGTAACAATGTCTCACAATTAATCAATAATTACATCCATTTAAAGTTGGTAATTTCGGTTGAGAAACTATTTAATTGAATAAAATCCTTTCAACTTATATTAAGTTTATGAAAAATGTAGTTTATTAAGATTTTGCTTACTCAACGTCAACCTCTTTTTGCAACTTCTTCTCTTTGCCTGCCTAAAAGTATGCCGAACAATGCGGAATCCAAAAACTTACCTTGAGCAGCGTAAGAATCTTCTGGGAGAGGTCATAGTCAAAGTTGGAATACTTGGACCCGCTCATGTCGTAGATGAAAACAAGACCGGCACGTTGCGTCTCCGTGTCCTGAAGCGCACTGTCCAGCTGGTAGACAATGCCCTGCAGCGTGGTCTTGTGCGAAACGCTCAGCGGACTGTGGCGACTGGCGGTGAACAGGGCAATGGCAGCGCCACTGGATGTGCGAGCAGGCTGGAAAGCAGATAGTTGCAAAGTTACTAAAGGGAATACATAAGAGGAAACCCATCACAGACTCACCAGGATCGTGAACTTGCTGGTTTTCAGCTCGGATAGCAGTGGCTCCACATCGGGATTAATGGTGTCGAGGGACTCCTTTTGCCGGATCTGTTCATGCTGCACGTACAATGACACCGCTCGCTCGACATCAAACTTGCGGGCGTTAAGAAACTTGACGGCTGTCGTATGCGAAATGGGGCGTCGCTCGAGCGAGGCTCCTCCACCGCCACCGCATCCTGATGTTGCCGTTGAAGATTGCACCTGAAGCTGCGCCTGTGGCGCGCCACCTGTTATCAAGTTGTGCGTGCTGCTGGTGGTGGAGGAGCAGGCTGAGGCCGCTGGAGATGTATTCGTGGTTGTCGCTGTCGCTGTGGTTGCTGCCGGGCTGCAGTTTGCACCTAGGTCGTTGCAGAGATCAATGAATTGCTTCACAGCCTGCAAAAGACAATTGAACGAGGGAATTAATTGTTAAGTTGTTTGAGAGATTCAAAAGATTTCATATATTCCAAACTATTTGGTAAGTTTTCTCTCAGAAGACAAGTCTCATTGCGAAAGATATGCTGCGTAACTGGTAGAGTTTGAACATAACCAAGTGAATTTATCGACAAATGCTTAAATTATGGAATTCTAGTGACACTCTGTGACTCTGACCCACATCAAGTGGTCAACTGGTTTCCGCTCAACCATTTCCCATTTACCATTTGATGCATGGTCATAGGAGTTAGCTTGCAGCTGATCAATAAAGCCACAGAGTTTATGGTCCGGCGGAACTAGTTCAGACCAGGCTGATAGTAAAGTCGAATGGTTTATGGCTAGAGTGTTGTGATGATGCAAACGTTGCGTTCTCACGAATAAACTTCGTGATGCTGTACAATTAATCATAGTGGCTGATCATTTTTAGTTCCCAGTTAATAGAAGCTGACGCCCATGATCACATCATTATTAATATACGTATGTATGCATGTACTTTTTACCACTTATCTCACTCGAATGTCAGCAAATGAACCCCATATTCATATGAGTTTCTAGGGTATAACAACGTACACTCATGTTAATTCCCAAAAAAAAAGTGCAAGTTTTATTTATTCTTCAGCGGGTTAATGGGTCACGTTAATCGACGCTGGCTGACCCATTCCCATTCAAGGTTAATGTGCAATGCGAGAGGCTTTAAAGTGTCGGATCAACGAAATGAAAGTATTATTACGCTTAATTAAATCGACTCGTCATTATTGTATGATTATTTTCATAATTTCTGTTCGACGCCCTAAGCGGTTCTTTTGCTATTTATATCCGGTCGAAGTTAACACCAATACCACCACCAGGTACAAATTCCATTTAGCCATATTCAGAGCTCAATTCAAGTAATTTTCTGTGTGCCGCCAACTAATTAAACAATCCAAAACGCCAGGCACGAACTCAAAACACACACACATGGAACAGAAGAGAACCGATTAAAGGTGGTAACACACCAAAAAAAAAAACCCCACCTGTTCGCTTCTTCGACGCCGCTGATACAGATGAACCATGGTCTCACACTTTTAGTTTAGTTTTAGTCACTTTTGGTTAACGATCGATATACTCGGTTTACATGTGTATATAATAGAGTGTATCCTGCATGCAGATGACTACAGGGCCCACCCTTCCCTTTAACGCGACCCGTTGCCTCCGAGGTTTCTTGTCTACTGAAAATTGCAATCGCGACAGAGAGCTTCGGTTCGATCGCCAGGCAGAGCGGAAGGCGGCAGCGCTGTTGCCGACGTTGGCGTAGACTGATATCAGAGGTACACTTAGAAAAACGTGAATGATAAGACACAATAAGGGAGTGGAATTGCACCAGAAATAACCCTGGTTCTACGAACCGTTGAGCAATATGTAACATTGTATACTTTTGGAGACATTTTATGCCTTTTTGATGTCATTTTATCAACTTCTAACTCTTACATTTAAATGTATTTGCTGTTTTTGTACTATGATAAAGCCAACAAGTGGTATTGTTTGATATTTAAAAGAATATTCCAATTCAAGAACTATGAATGTACATATCTTAAAATCTTAAATGGTGTGATGAACAACACCACTTTAAATATGACTTTAAAGTGGAAACATAATCCTAAAATTTCAAATTGACACTTTTTCGTTCAGTGCTCTAGCCGCTGCCGAAGCCGAAGCGCTGCTGCGGTTAACGAACTGCAGCAGTAGCGAACATTTTGAGCAGCGTTTTCTCGGAAGCAGAGACGCAGGCGGCGTCGGAGGCGGCATACCAACAATTTGAGTCATGCGGGAGTTGCCTCCGCCACCATATGTCACCCTTTTGCACAGTGGGACAGACCGACGATAACGATTGTGTTTGATAAGACTCTAAACAAAACAAAAAAAAATTCTGTATAACTTATCGATTGAATCGTATTCGTGGGAACTCGTGCTTATTATCTCGTAAAATTCGCAGAAGTTCCCATTCAGTGAACCAGAGTCTATCAATTAGCATGAATTTGTCACGTTCCAGCAAAACTGCAATTTCACGCTTAACATTACGGAATTGTCAAAAATTCTTGAAAAATTAAATATGTTTTATAACAATCCGTAGGTAGTTTTCTTTCTTGTTTTTTTTTTTTTTATAACATTAACTTTGCCCCACTGTACAAACGCAGGGACTCCTCCGAAGCTGATTTGGATGATGCCAAGTCCAAATAAGAGGTGAGCGATGCGATGCGTCATCTTATTTATGAACATGTTCGTTTACCTGGCTCTTTCTACGAATACATTATCATCCCGGAGTCTGGGACAGGGGCTTAATGGCTCAAAGAGAAATAACCGTTCGTTGCCTTGTGACATAATAAATATAAAGAAAAAGTAAAAAACCGAGATAAGAAAAAATATTTTAAAAAAACACACAAGAAAAATAAAAACATGCTTTATTTATTTGCTCACATTAAGCCGGAATTAACTCGAGTGAATAAAAAGCTAAAATAAAGCCAACTTTAACATTAAAAAAATATATATATAAAATTACAAACACATATTAAATATTTAACTAATATTTTCTTATCCAATCGGTATTTAATTTTTATATATATTTACTTTCTGTGGCCAAAATATACTATGAAATTGAGATGGTTCTTAAAGTCTCCAAGATCGAGGGGTTCATAAACCGACATTAGAACCTATTTCAATCTTTGTAAAACCTTGTCGTAAACTATATTAAACAAAATAAAAACACAAAAAAAAATTCGATCCTGCCAGGAGTCGAACCTGGAATCTTCTGATCCGTAGTCAGACGCGTTATCCATTGCGCCACAGGACCGGTGCGCTACACAAAAGCAGACGCACCAGGTAAGGCAGACAGATATACACACGTGCGAGCGTGTGGGGAGCAAGCAGTCACACTTGTTGAGTGGAACTGGGTCTGCGGCTCGTTGGCAGCATGTAGTTGTTGCTTATCGCTGGCCTAGGCCAACAGGTCACAGAGTCTTGTCTAATTTTAGATACTCGCTAATGGCACCACGGGCGCTACTTTCACTTCTGCGGGGAGGAGGTAGGAGTCGGGACTGGACTGGAAATCCAAAAGGTAGGTATTCGTTGGAGGAGAGAGTCTCGTATGCTCTGTATAGTGACTAACTTCAGTGGAATTGATCATATGATGACGAATATGTAGAGGGGTATGGATTCATATAGATAAATCTTTTCCACGTAAATATCTCCATCAATCAAATATAAAAAGGTTTATCCATCTTTTCGAGATGATGTGAGAAAAATATTTAAAATATTGTTTAAATCCTAAAGTGTTGTGGGTTTAACACAAAATGATTTTCCAATTAGCTAAGCTTTAGAGAAAGAGAGGAAATATGGCAGAAAGCGGAAGGTGGAGCACACTCACTTCCGGTTTCGGTTTGGGTTCTGGTTATGGTTATGGTTGTGGTTATTAACGTAACTCTCTTGGCCCCGACAGCCAGTAAATAGAGCAACAAGTAAGGCAACGCTGCTGCCGGTCTTATGCCTAACTGTTTGCATGCAAAGTAACAGCGACAGACATGGCAAAAGCGGTTCCATTTCGTTCCGTTCGGATCGGCGGCATAGATCGGTTCGGTTCTACTGTTCGGAACTGTAAAACTAAGCTCCGGGGGCTTAGTATAAGTTACTAGTAAATCAGAGTCTCAGATCTTTGGAGAGAAGACTTTAACGGACGCTGAGCATGAAAGCCGCCACCAGAGTTGCTGATGGTTCTAAAGAAAAAATACAACAAAATAAAAACAACCAACGAACAGTGATTGGAAATCTCAGAGACAAACAGATTTGCTTGGAGAAAGACAAGGAAAGCATATAGACTTCTTCTGTTAACATTGATAACTAGATAGTTCAATAAACGTACTTTGAAATCATAATTACATAGTGTTCATAGCAATCTACAAGGTTTTCCAGTTACCTTTATAATCATATTACACCGAATTACTATTTTAAAGTTGCGAAAATAACGTTTCATCCTAACCTTTACAACCTTTTATCCTCTTTTTCTCGACAACACCTCCACAACGGTAGGGCTAGTCGCCATTATTCATATTATTCCAACAATTTCCTTTCACAGGATGCAGGATATTGCTGACAGATTGTTGTCTGAGAATACTCCACAGTTTCAGAGCAGGAAACACACAGTGGAGGGGTTTCTGGGAGGGTCGAGTGACTTCCTTTTACATTTTCGCACTAAATTCGAAATACTTGCTCTGTGCGGTGAATTCTCATGATGCTTCCGCTGAATGCGCAGTCGCGAATTGTTTTTTTTTTTTTTTAGAGGTAAAGGGGTGCAGTACAAGGGGGACGAAGGAGCCAGACAGTGGTCTCTGTGCACGAGAACAAAAAGAACCATTTTTTCCGACTAAAGTTCTCCAACTTCAATTCAAATAGTTTTAAAAAACCTAATTGTTTGTCTCCGAACGAAAATGAACCACAAGTTCAAAGATTTATTTTTATTCGCTCAAGAATATCCACATAATCATAAGCTTGACAAACGGTTTATTTTCATTGTTTATCCCAATAGCCCCCATTGCCACGCCCATTTGCATATGAGAAGAAAAGCTTTTAGGTGAAATGCAAAGCCAACAAAGACGAAGAAGCGGCGGCGAAATTTCATTTGCATGCGAATTGATGCCAGTGCTTGGGATGTGTTACATATGGTCGGAATCCGAATCCGCTTCGAGCTCCAAACGGAACTTGGCCAGCAGAAGAAATACGACCCGAAACACACAAAAGAAACCAGCTGTGAAACATGATTATATACTCCAGCAGAAGTAGCTATGAAATTCGAAAATATGTACATATGTATCTTTTACCATATGCTAGGGGAAGTCATAGGTGATACTAACCAGGGCATACCCTGGAGTCATAAGTACAAAAATATAAAAATGAACACTTTTTTTTTAGCATAAATTAAACATCCAACTTTTTTTTACTGAAAATTGGTTGAATTTGGAATTATTTTTTAAAATCAATTCGTAATTCTTCAAAGAGTTTTTTTGCTTGATTATTTAGTTTTCAACTGTATAAAGAATTCCTTAACTGGATTTTAGTTCAACATTTTTAAAGTGTATTTTATGTGATTGTTGGCTTGATAAACCTTAAGCTTTCTAGGTATTTTTAATCCCTTTTAGTGTGTTTTAGCCTGTTTTTTTTTTAATGAAGTGTAAGGCTTTTATTTAATGGTTGATCTGATAAGATACCAACTGGCTAAGGCTGTCGTTTTTCTCGCCGTAAAGCCAAAACACAAACAAACACACAGCATCTGAGATGAGATAAAATAAAGTTTGTGTTTCTTTCCAGTAAGTCTTTCTTTCTTTCCATTTTCCAGGTGGGAATTCAACTTTGAAGAGCTCTTTGTTCGATGCTAATGAACTAGGTAAGAGCGAGAAAGAGATGTGGAGAAAATAACAAAGAAAGAACAACAACAGAAGAACACATCTTGAAAAACTTGAAAGGAAGATACGCAGAGAGAGGGAAGACGGAGAGCGCGAGCAACAAGTTGAGTTTGTTGTTTCAAGGAAAAGGAGCAGAAACAGGCAGCAAAAAACTAATAAAGTGAGTCTATTTATAGACGCAACAGCAACAAAAAATGATGTAGATTGACGGCCGCAAAAGGAAAAATGAGAATTCTTTTAAAGCAAAGCTTAGAAAGTAAAAATCCCAGTGCAGTTGAGAAGGAGGCACTGACACACGCACCTTGGCAATGCATAGGAAGAGACGCTGATGACAACCGCTGCTCCCTTCGCTCCTGCTCTTGTGGCTGTAGCCATTGTTGTTGCAGCCATTTTCCGGCTTGTCCTTATTCCATTGTGTTTCCTGCATTTTGGGTCATTTTTTGCACACTCACGAACAACGCACACACAAAAACAAATAAATAATAACTATGAACTAGCATTAATAAATTCCATCACAGAAAGACGCGAAGCGAGAGATGGGATGAGATGAACGCGACTGACAACAAACAATGAACGGCTCGCCGCGCGGCGAACACAACGGCAAACGGCGAACGGCCATCAACAGTGCAGCGAACGCTCTGCCCGCGCCGACAGAGCAGAACAGAGTGGCTGTGGCTGCGCAAGCGCACGTCGGAAAAGAAAGAAGGAAGAGGGAGAAAGAGAAAGAGGCTGCGCGGTCCGCCCCTTTGCAAGACAGTTGTTTTTGCTGCTGCCATTGCACAATGGGACAAACGACAACTTTTTTGGGCATTAACTAGTAACTCTACTCTTTATTTTAACAAAATTTTTATTTACACATAAGGCAGAAAAATAAACAGAACTTCTTTGAACGACTTTTGGATTTTGACAAGAAAAAGTGATCGTTTGCCCCATAGTGCGTTGCTGCCACTGACACAGTTCAATGTCAGCCCCAAAGCTTGAGAGCTGGAGAGAGCGAGAGATCATGTTAAAAGGATGCCCATTAACAGTGGGGTCTGTTAATCGCCAGCAAGTACTGTGGAGCTTCCGAAGCTTGAAATTTAATTTAATAACTTGAAATCATAATTTAAAAAACCACCAAGGACCGGTGGTTAAAATCCCTGATGATGATTCATCGAAAAACAATACTTGATCAATTTTCTTAAGCAAATTGGGGTTCTACTTGTATGTTATCCGAACTATTAAAATTTTACAAACTGACAGTTAGTTTTTGACTTTTAAATAAATTAAAGACAACAGATTTACATTTTTTGGCTGGATACTCACAAAGACTTTTGATAAAACAATAAAACATTTTTAAGAAAATAGCAAAAAAAAATATTAAAAAAAAGTTAAATTGTCTTAATACCCAAAAAGGCACGGCTCGTCGAGCGGCTTATGTGCTTAATTGAATTAAACTTTGTTGGACGGCGTCTGCGGCACTCGCTTATGACTTCTTATGAAAGTGTTAAGAAATTTCGCTAGAGTTTCGAGTGTGTCGTTCGCTGGATGGATAAATTTCACTTGCTTCTGGTACATACAAACGTCGCGACGGCTCACATTGTATGAGCTGGTGTTGCTTTGTTTTCTACCATTTGCGCATGATTATTGTTATTATTTTTTATTATTATTACGCTTTCTTGCGGTGCGCCCGACTCTCGATTATTTGAACAAAACGCTCGCTTAAGACTGTCCCTGGCTTAGCCTCTTTCCCCTTTCCCAGGGGGCGTGACATTGAGACAAGACACAAGCTACCAAGCATCACGCGTATGTCTGTTGTTATTATTATTATTTCCATTGTTGTTATTGGCTACAAAACTTTCTTTTCAATGCGTTTCATACACAAATCCGCATCGAAAAGAAATCACCACCACAGCTTAAACACACTTACGTTTATTTGTCTGCTCTTATATACATATATAAATCGATCTGAATACTTATTGATACAGTCTTAACTCCGCAAATCAAATTATAAAACTAAGATTCCGAACTAAAGGCTAAACAAATATTTAATACACTACACCCCTTTTATTTTAAGAAAAATTTAAGTTTTTTGTTGTTTTAGTTAAAGAAGTTTGACTGTATTTTGTGGCCCTCAAAACTAGTTTGATCTACAAATTAGACGCAGTCTGACCCACTTTGTCGTAGAAAGTGATCGCAAATGGGATTAGTGGTATATTACCATTTCTTTGGACTTGGACATTATGCAATGCAGTGGGATTCCAAATCACAGTAAAGAAAAAAAAAAACCTGCCTGGTTGGGCTTTTGATGATGCGACACATTTACTTCAGTTGGCCATGGAACGTGACTGACTTAGGTAATTGAAAGCATTTCTCCGGCAACATACACATATGTACATCTTATGTCATTTAAGCATAAAACATATAAACTCTTGCAGAAAAATAGTTATAAATTGATTTATTGAGTTTGAAATACAAAGATATTGGAATCAAAACAACCTATAGTAAAACTGCCTACTTCTTGGCATGTCTACAAAGTTTTTACTCTTTTCTTTTTTGTAGACTTAATTAAACTTAATTTCTTATCCACTTTATTTCGATGCTTTTGACAGAGCCAGCGGGCAGAGTGCCAAAGCGGGCATGACCAGGCCTAAAAATGTAGGAAGCGGAGGGAAAACGCCAGCAGAGTTAGGGCGAAATGCAAACAAAACAAAACAGCTGAAATGTTGCCATTTTAATTATCAAAAAATGGCTGGAAACGGCAGAACAAGGGGAGCCCCAAATGTGGGGGAAACTAAGCAACATACAAACATATACTTTTTTTTCTCTCTCTTTTGGGACCTACATATGTAGGCCAAACAAATGAAAAGGCATCTCTAGCCCTCTTCGTCTAGCTCAAAATAAAAACTCATTTCTTTAGCACAATGTAAATCGGTCAAACCAATCAAAAAAAAAAAAATAAAAATAAAAAAATCTGCAACAACAATGCCCTCCGAGAGTTCTTTCAACTTGGCTTTTTAACGTGCTTGATTTTTTACATGTTGAAAAATCCATTCATATTCATTGTGCAGAATTAATTAGGTATGGAAAATTTATTCTTATTTATTATTAACAAAAAATTAATTTTTTTAATATTAATTTTAAAACTCTTGGAGAAACTATAGAAAGGTTTATAAAAACTTATTGTAAATAGAACAGAAATATAATTATAATAGAAATTGATTATAATATTAATTTGTTTTTATATTTTAAATAGTACATTTCGAGTTCTGGATATTTTTATTAATTACAACTTTTGCTCAGTGTGACCTGGAAATTCAAAAGTGTTGAGGATGGGATCAAGGCAAGTTCCCAAGTCGGAAAGTTGGGAGATGAATGATGGGGACACATGTCATTGTCAGGCCGTGGTCCAAATGCAATTGAGCAAAATATCGCAATGAAGACTTGAGCACGACACAGTGAATAAGAAGTTAGGAGATGGAGATGTAGATGTAGATGGTGGAGAATGGTGGTTACAAGAACAAGAACAGCGGAAATGGAGACTCAGACAATGGGACCTCTCGCATTAGAAACTATTTTTTATATAGAGAAAAGCCAACAACACTACAGTAGTAAAGTAAGTAATATATCGAAAGAAAACCGAAGAACTGGCAGAAAAAGAAGTAGAGAAAGAGAGGAGATACACCAAAAGCTTAGCAAGAATATTACCGATAAAAGTTGTACAGTTGACAGTCCCAAAATAAATACAAATACAAATATAATAGTTTTTTTTTTTATTTCGAAAGGTCTTTTGACCTTTCGTTTAAGAAAAAACAATAATTTTGTAGTGAAATAGTTTGTTTATTTTCGTATGTGATCATTTATCTATTATTCACTGTACCAACGCTGCTTGAAAAGAAATCATTGCGGAAGCCCACGTCGCCACCAATCCACGCCAGGCATCTAAAGCTCAGAGGCGAGGCGGCACATCGCCGGCAGATTTGGATTCGGAATCACAGAATAAACTGCCAGCAAGACGGAGAGAAGCAAGAAGACTCGCCGAGAGCCACTCGCCCGGTCACATGGGAGTCTGTATGGGAGTTCAACAACCCGCAAGAGATTGCCATAGCAGCAGCAGCAGCAGCAGCAGAGGCACAACACAAAAAGCGAAACACAATGCCCTAGCTGCTCCCTCTCTTCTTCTCTAGCCCCTAACTAGCTTTTGCCACATTCACCGCCCCATTGGTGTAATCGAAATAATTCCCAATTATGCGTCAGTAAATGGAGAAATCGTAATAAAAATAAGAACAGGAATCCCGACCACTATTAAATAAAATTTTTTAGATATATAAAACAGAATACTGACTTGTTGTACATAAATAGCAACCTTAAAATAAAGATTAATACATGGATTTTCACGTCTCTGTTTGCTATTGACGGATTAAACCATATTTTATCCTTAAAAGTAAAAAATAAGTGGTAAATTCCTACAAGATTGTACCAAAAATAATAGCAACAAAAAATAATAAAAAGAAATAAATTATTTTAAAAACACTTTAGGAATATGTATTTTATAAGTTTTTTTTCTGATCGTAAACAGAAGAACCAAAAACTACTCTGTGCATTTTATACATCAATGAAATATTATTAAACATTCAGATTCGCACCTTTATATGCCATTAATTTACGGAAAATCACCTTCATATACTGTATTTACGGGTAAACTACGCAATTGCATTTTTCCCAGATGCATTATAAAGTTTTCAAGTATTATCACTAGATTTTTAGAGCTTTACGATGTGTGCAGTGTGACCTAGGGGGTTCTGGAGAATAACCTCTGGTTATTAATCTCACTAAAAGGACTGTTGTGGTAAGGAATAAAAAACTCCAGAAAACTAGGGGGACGTACACCATTTAGGATTTCAAATGTTTTGCTTATGGGAATGTGCTCTTTCCCCTTATAATTATTTAGCCTGTTTGCCTATTTTTGATATATATTTTTGCTATGTGCTCAAGGCGCTCAGGGCCTAGCAGTGTATCTCCTAGCTCCCTCCCGTTCCAGTTTCAGTTTTGATTTCGGTTCAGTTTGGGCGGGTTGGGGTTGTGGTTGTTCTACTTTTGCCGTTTGTGGCCTGTGCGGCGGGTGATAAGAGGAGAGCCAATGGGTTTGACCCATTTCCGCGAGAAACACACACACACAAACACACAGACACATACGTTGCGGCGTTGCACAACGATTTTTTTTCAGTTTATTTTTATTCTCCGCTTTTCGTTTTTAATGAAAGTTATTGTGGCGGCTGCCCTCGCGGCTTAATCAACGCAAATGAGGATGCCGAGTCAGTCGCCCGGCTGGCTGAGCAAACGAAATCAAAAACAGGCATACATATATGTATCAACAGGCTGCCACACCTTTAGTCCCGACTATATATATACATTATTTTCCCCCAAATCCCCTTATGTCATCCACAAAAGTCCTTTTGCCGCCGCCATGGGTTATTGCACTCTGTGTCCGGGTTCAAAATCCCATCTCAAGGATACAATAATAATAAATCCTAGTTGCCTTGGACGGGCCAATGATGGTGGTAGAAGGAATGAAGTACACTTAACTCTAGAATCTGTATACGGTTTAGATCTATTTAAAGAAAAATGATTATTAATTATTTAAGGGTTTCTGAAGGCTAAGTACCTACATAGATCATAAGCATTACATCTTTCTTCATTCAAGTTTAATGTCTAAACAATTTTAAATATTCAACAGGACTCCCCAAGCTCAAGTGAAATAAGAACAAAACTTCGCTCAAGGAAGCAGACAACTGAACTGGGCTAAAATGCTATTATTGGCCTTTTTATGAGCAATTTCAGTTAAGCATTGAGCCTCACTTGTAGACAAAAACACATTCAAGATAAGGGGTGGGTATCGTGTACAAATGTTGCCAAGTAATTGTTGCAACAATAAAAACGCTACTATATGCAGTTGAAATGCCTGTGTTCGAGTAAAATCAATTGTGCAAGCCTTGGGAAATGAATACGAAAAAAGAACTATCAAAGGTTGTCAGCCTCGGCAAAAAAGTCTATATTCCTATTTATTTAAAAAATTAAGAATATTTTAATATACAGTTCAAAATCATAAGCAAAGAAATACAAATAAAATACAATTTCTACATTGCATCACGAGTGATTCAAAGTCCAGTACTTGAAGATGAGATTATTAAACGTAATAACGTGATTTTTCTATTAATGGAAATTTGGGGGAAAAACAAATTCAAATTCGACCTTCCCCCGAACGTGGAAAACCAAAGGTAGAGAAGCATGAATGAAAGTTTTCTCTCTTTAAACAAATTTCCAAAGTCGCAGAAACGATTTCCACAGAAAAATACAAATTTACGATCGATCTTTAGAACAAAAATTAAATAAATAATCAGCAAAGCATATACATACGTACACACAAAGCTGCCACTTCCGATTGGCATCTAGAAAATACTAATGAAACTGGAAATACTGTTCGCATCTATACAGAAATTTCCGAGTAAAAATTATTGAATTTATTGAGAATTGTAATACATACATATATGAATTTTTGTGAAAATATGGCATCTGTGATCTAGAAAATATTGCAATGTTGCACAGAGGCAAAGTTCAGGATTTAAAAAACTCTAGAAAAATTTGGTGGCGAGCAAAAATTAAAAGGGACCAGAACTGTCTGTCAAGTCTTTTTCGGCTCGGCAAATTAACAGCCCATTTTAGATACCCAGAAGAATGATAATAATTTATAGTTTTTTGAGTTTTTGCTATTTAAAGTTCTGTTTAGCACTCTGTTATTCATTCTAGTTCAAATAAATTAGAGGAGGGTGGTCAAGCGGTTTGTTATAACGGTCCGGGGTCTTAAAAAGGACGGTAAAGGGATGTCGAAAAATTGTAAGGTTGACTAAAAATTTAAAAAATAAATACTAATATTTTGATTACAGCAAAACACTTAAAATAACAAAATGTAATTTAAAAAAATTCTTTGGAGCCAAAGAAGTATAGAAATTATAATAAATTTTAAAATAATTTAAGGGATTTAATATAACCTTTTAATTTTTAAAAATATTTCACAAAGTTGTGTTCAATATCGCTTTACGCCTCTCTCTCTTACTCACTCCTTCCTACCCACCTCTGTTCATTCTATCACTCTCTCGCCCGCCCGCAGTGATTAAGCAAACAATGAACTCGCGCCATCAGCTGTGTACTTGAGTGAGTGTGTGTCTGTGAGCAGCTTCTCGACTGCTAGTGTTCTGATGTGTGTGTGTGTGGCAGTGGGATTGGGAACAAAGATTTGTGCAATGCTAAATTGACCGGCTTAGCAAAAGAAAAAAACAAAAAAAAAAAACAAAAAAGAAAAAAGGGAAAGCGTTTTCTTTGTTTTTCCCTTCAACTAAACCGGTTTTTGACCCTTTGCAGCAGTTACAAGGAGAGGAAACAATAACTGCACTCGTCGGCCCCGGAACTCACTTTCCCTAATGAAGCATAGGCACACACACACGCGCACTCTTGAGAACTCCCACTCTTGGAGCTGGTGTTGTTGTTGTTTTGGGAGTGATAACAGTAGTGATGCATAGGAATGCCTGTGGAGGAGCGAGCGAGAGAGTCGGAGCGCGAGGGCGGCGGGTGGCAGGGGGTGGCACGTGTTAACCGATATAAACACGTACCTACACACACACACATTTGTGCACTGCCGCTGCATCCAATATTGTGTATTGCAAATGCAATTGCGGAATACCTTCGCACACAAACATAAACACACACATACTACTACCCGAATACAGGTTGAAAACACGCACGTAAAATTTCGGTAAACGCTTCTTGTTGGCGTTTCGGAGGCACTTTTGCGGTCAATTGAACTCGATTTGCCTGCAATCACTCTGGGCGGGCGTGTCAACACGAAATCTCAAAAGTCCCCGCCCCAGCGCTTACAATAAACAAAATATTTATTTGTTTTTTACATTTGTTTGGCACTTACGGATTCGTCCATGTCGTCTCGCAGCTGAATGTGTTGCCAGTTTAGCTTGTTTCGGGCTAGATCTAGCATATTTGAGCAGGAAAAAGCTTGTGAAATTCGCAGCTAGATTGCAGCCTTAAAACTAGTATATTTTAATAAGGGGATTCCGTAAAAGACTGAATTTCTGCAAATATTGGCTATGTATCGCGATAGTTAGCCGATATTTTCAGCTGTAAAGGGAGCCGCTAAATTTTTAAACAAAATCTCAATCGCAAGACAAGTTTATACATTTTATATTCTCCTTTATAATCATTAATTAGTTTTAATAAAACGACCTTTAATTTACCAATAAAAATCTTTAATTTATTCAAGCTATTTAGCCGTACTGGCTTTTGGTCATTCAGTGGATATTTTCAGTCATTCATTTGCTCATGACATTAACGAATTATTCTATTACAAATATGGCTGAAACTATAAAAACAACAATAAATTCCTATTTTTGCCTAGCTCAAAATAATGATTTTATTTTATTTACATTTTTGAATATAGTTAGCCGATATTTTTCACTTAAAGCAGCTCTTTTCATCAAACTGCTGAAAATAATGGCTACAGCGTTACTTTGCCGATATTTTCAGACATTCAGTCGTCCGGGAATACCCTAACATTTGGACTTGGCTATTTGTAGCTATCTTTTTTTTGGTATATTTTGGTTTTTTTATAATCCCAGTGTGACAGCTTCCATGCAATAAGACTAGTATATACCAAAAGCCGGTTTTTGTTTGGGTATTTTCGTCATCGAAATGTAATCGATAACACAACTCGGAAGAGCGCCTGCGTCCACGTTACAAAACAGCTTTTAAAATCGAGCGCCAAAACTGATTCCGGTTTTAAACTACGGTTCCGGATCCGGTTTGTGCCTCGGATATAAGCTACATAAGTTAGCTGACTTAAATATTTTACACATAACAACCAATAGACAACTTGCAGATTTTCAACTTTGTGCTTTCACCGATATGCCGGACAGATACAGGACGAGAATGCTTTTTTCTATAGAAAATTTTTGTCCGTTTATAGCTCATTGAGGAATATGTAGTTTGTATCTTGGCTAGAGAAAATATTGCTTAAAACCGGTTCGGTAGAAACTTTTTAAAAACGTTTAACATTTTGTTAAACGGTTAACTCATAGAATTAATTTATTGATACATCAATTTACGTTTTTAATAGTAATAACTGCAGGGGTTTCTAGAAAAGTAGAAAATAGAATGCTTTATTATTATTTTAAATTCCAATCATCACTTTTATTTTTCTGTTACTCTAGTTGCATAACCCAAGAAATCCCAGAAAACACAACATAAAGTTGTCTTTTTCAATTGAATTAATGAAACATGCATATCTGCATGGCCCGGGCTGCGTTTGTAGCCGTATTACAGCTCACCAAATAAAACCATGACACTCTAAAAACTTTTTTTACTCAAGCATTAACCGCTGCACTAAATGAAATGCAATCAGGAATTTTAGGGGACCGCTGTGTAAGTCTCCCGAGCCGGAGTCAATCAATCTGAAGCCATGGCAGGGACATCGTGTCACACCATCGTTGAGGGGCTCAAAGGGCGGTATGCAATCGTTGCAAAACATTTGCATCTTCCTGAACTTGTGTATCATAACCTGGCATCCCAGCTTAGGTGACCAAACACACAGAGCCTCGAACGTGGTCGCTGCAACTCAGTGGGGAATTAATATAATAGGCTGCTCAGTTCATGTATCTCTACTGTCAAACCATTGATTTGCATGCCCATCGGAAGGCAGTTGGCCACGGGTACATATAATAGGCCTCGCCTGATCTTTCTCAAGGAATTGTCGGTTTGCTTGATTACACTGTATCCCGTCTGCTGTATGGTGCACTCCCTGTTTCTCTCCGTGCAGTCCATACACAATGTTCCATTCGGCAGGGCATAAGTGTTGCTATAGACTAGACCGAGTATAAGGCAAGTGTACAGGTATTCTTTTAACATTTCGATGCAGATAGCTATTCAAAAATACTTTATTTGTTTTAATTTTCAAGGGTTACTTCCTTATCCATAATGGAGTGTTTTAAACTCGTACATTTACTAAAGCATTTGCAGTGATTTTTACCAGTGATTTTTTAAGGGGAAACCTTAGACGTTTTGTTGTTTTTTACTTCGGGAAAAGAAAAAAGTTTTAGGTAGTAATGGTTGTTGTGGCAAACACTTTACACAAGTAATATCCTAATTGGTTAAACGCAAAGAAAAGCCCACTCATACATGGTCGTTCGAGTGGCCTCCATTCATAATGCCAGCCATATGCCCCCTAGCCACCGTGGGCGATTGCGCCTATAAAAGTGCACAAATTTGCAAAGCACTTTGCCTAATTGTTGTGATAAAGAGTCCTTGTAGTCCCTAATCGAGCTTGTAGCTCTCAATTTCACTGTTTTCGTAGGGACATGTCAAAAACCGTAGAAAGGGCAAGCAATTAGGGATCAACTTCTATAGAAGAACCATATATGGTTCTGATGAAAAGGTATCTTCAAAGTAATGTCCTCGTTGGATAGATGTCTAGGAAAACTATTTGAGAAGGTTTTAAGGAGGTAAACAAATTACATATTTATTGTAAAATGCTGAAAATAAAATAAAAATAAAAGGTGAACGAGAAAGAAAACGAATAGGAAATTAAGTAAACTCATTCAAAATTAGGCTACTCATTTTCGATTGTTGTTTCTGTAAACCCAACTTTAATTGAGGCACTTTTGGTTATATAATGTAGATGAGCTGTGGCTGTTGCAATTTGGATTTTGGCCAGTATTCATCTACTACAAGCTAGGGACTCGTCCAAAAAGTTAGACACTCAGAGGACGTGTCCCTTTCCCGCTTTTATATTTTCGATGGAGGAAAAGCCACTTTCACTGGCAAACGGCACACAGAATGGGAAAATGGGCGGGGAGAGCGTGGAAAGCGGGTGCAGCTGCTGTGGCAGAAATCAAAGTTTCGCTTAGAGTTTCCCCTCCAGCTCCTGGGGGGTAGTCGTGTGTGCTCAGTCGTGCGTGCATGGAAGGATCATTGGATATTCCTTTGATTATTAACCGCAGACCACAGGGAGCCCTGGCTGCCTTTTTATGTGGCTTATTCATATTGATTTGGTTTATGGGGGTTGCATTTCAATTGCTTGCATTTCGGTTAATCGATGACCTTAAAATAACAAAAAATAAAAGGGGAAATTTCGATAATAATGGAGACTTGGAATTTAGTCTTTTCTGCTAAAATGTCTTGCTATACAATTTCCAAATTCTCAATCTTTTCAAATACTCTTTTCTGTGGATTGCCAAGAATATCAATCAATAAACATTGCTCCCCTCTGGTTTTAATAAATACCAAAAATATTTCCCAAAGTTCAATATCAATTTGAACTTTTTAGCTGAATAGACAACTTCGTGTGGGAATTTTTCGTATCTGAATCGTTTTATTAAATTGGTTTTCGAGGAGTGGCTTCCATTTCTAATGCATTTCCCCCTGCAGAAAAAAACTTGTTTGCTCGAAATTCTCTCGTGGATGTGATGTGATGTCTGGGAGTGCTGGACATGTCCCGGCGCTTTGGTTTGGCTTTTTAATTTGGCTGTGCCTTTGTTCCCTGGTCTCCTATTTTTGTCTATTTTTTCCCCAAACAATGGCCTACAAAGTGGCAAAAAAAAAAATATCAAAGACTTGGCCAAAAGCGAAAACGTGCAAAGAGTCTTGATAATAAAATGCCATCATAACAATGTCTCTTTTTTGGCCATTGTCCTTTGGTTGGCTTTTGGGACAGGTGTCATGCCTAGAAATTGGGAATTAACTTTCCGAAAATGTCAACAGTCTAGGGGTAGTTTCTTTGTTTCAATAAAATCAATATATAATAATAAAAGATAATAAAAGATAATAAACTTACCGCTTTCAAATAGTGTAATAATATCTAAACAAAAATAATTAAAATCAAGCCACATTTCCTTAAAAATATATACATTTTTAAGTAATATAAATATATCAATAACCTTAAACACTTTCTACAGCATTGAAAACAAGCAGCGCATTATAATGTATAAACTTTTCACACTCTGCTACTAAATAAGGCTCAGATTGCGTATACGCCACGTCGAACCCAGCACACACACACCCTTGAAGTGCATCAATTACAGGCTAAAATAAGGAGGCAAGAAGGGAAATCAGGGGCAAGAAAAGCAGGGCTGACGAAGCCAGAGGAAATGGGCAGGCATTAGAGTGACATTAAAGTTCAATAAAAGTGAATTTATGTCCTCGATGCCCGTGAACGGGATATCCTGTCTAGGACACACACACACTGGCAACACATGCAAGTCTGATTATTTGCTTATGTGAAATCTGCCAGAACTCCATTTTTTCGCTGGCCTTAAATAACAGGTGTTTTTTGGGCTTATACCCATGGCCCATAAATTATGCAACTCTTTATTATTTTGTAAAACAAAAACAGGCACACTTTCTGCTTTAATGGTGGGGAAAAAGGTAATGTCCCAACAAAAATTCTGGCTCCCCTTTCGGACCCTTTTTTTTTGAAGCACTTCTCGTGTTTTTTTTTTTTAACACAAAAAGTTTGTTAACCGCAGGGACTAGTGGCTTTTTAGTCGCATTTCTTTTTGGCAATTTAAAACCAAAAAAAGGGAAAGGCAATCTTTAAATTCGTAACGTAGCGAAAAAACTCCAACAATGGTAAACGTTTCTTTGTGAATTCATAAGTAGTAGTGTTGTACAAAAAGTGTGACCCTGCTGGGCCGAACTTAAAATGTTTTAAGGAATCCTGGTCACTCTACAAAAAACTGTAGAAGAAAAACAGCACGTGGAAAAAACGAGATCATATCACTTGCTGGCGATATAAATAATAAAAGAATCAATGGATAACCAGATAACTCAACCGCCACTGAGAGCGACTGTTCCGCTGGAGAACCTGGAGGCGCAACTGGAGCTGTTCATCGAGAACGTGCGTCAAATTGAACTCTTCGTCAGCGACGTTCAGCCCCAGGGACAGAGCGTTCTCAACCAAAAGCTGTAAATTTCAATTAAAATAATGCTAAATGTTATTCATATCACTTACACATTGGCAGTAATGGCATGATTACCGGCCTACAGAATATTGACAAGCTACGTTCCCAGGTGCAGGACGTTTATGTGCCCCTCGAGGTGTGCTACGACTACATCGACCAGAACAAGAATCCCCAGCTGTTCACCAAGAACTGTCTTGAAAAGACGCTGGTAACGAACGAGAATGTCAAGGGCAAGATCGAGGGCTTCCAGAAGTTCAAGGGAAAAATGCTCCTTGAATTGTTCAAGACCTTTCCCAACGAGATGGATAGCTATCGTGCCTACAGGAATGCCTCGGTAGGAGGGGGGGATGACCCACCTACAGCCTAGTTTTTATACTTATTTATACTTTCCTATAATCACTTTTAGTAAAATCTATTATTACATTTAAATTATTCACCATTAAGTAAGGAAGTCTTTAATGTTTTGATAAGCGCAGGCGATTTGTCCTAGCTCCATTGATTTATAAACAAGATATGGACAATCTAGACAACAGGAAACCACGAACAAATGTCAAAGTGGTAACACAAATGGGCCAACAATCTGTTGCCAAACCAACTATCCTGCAGTCAGTCGGAAAACCCTTTTAGCAAGGGTTAAGAGGGGTGAATCAAATATTGGTTCCTAAATAAATACTATTTATATTTTTATAGATCCATTTTATATGCAAGCCAAATGACTTTGGTATATTTATTGTTATTATTGTTGTCATTGATATTCCTTTTCCTATTTCTGTTCCCACTGCTTATTGCTCCATTATTGTCCTGTGTTCGTGTTGCCTATTGCCTGGGGGGGTTGCACCTTTTGTTTACCTTGAAACATCCTGAGCTAAATATATATTTGATAAAGAAATTGATTGCGGACTCACCTGGCTGTAAGTACTTTTGCACTACAAAAAAGTAAATAAGTAAATGAATAAATAAAACAATTATTTTTCAAGCTTACAATTTGGGAATAATTTACATAAGTAAGAGTAATTCCATTTCATTATGGGAATAATTAATTAAAAGCAAGCATTTGTGTGTTACTATTTTTATGAAATATTTTTCTCTTTTCAGGAGGTTAAAATACAATTCCACCATCTTTATTAACCCCATTTAGTGCTCATATTTACGCCTATATGGCTGTGTTTATTACTGGAACTTTGGTCTATTAATCAATTCGGAAGCCTTCTGTTCGAATCCCGCTTCTGTCCTGGTAAAGAGTCATTTCATGGCGGAAGGATGTGACACAGGAAGCCACAGTTGTTCCCAAAGTGGGTGGGGAGTGGGTGGAAATGAATAAGCATTGTCGTCTATTTCCATTTACCGAACAAATGAGGAACGTCCTGAGTAACCAAGACACTGAGAAAGTAAAACGACTTTAACTTTACATATAAGATAATAAGTATCTTTTATGAATTATACAAGTTAATAAAACAAATAGTAAATAATAATTGTTAGGAAAGATATCCTAAAGATATAACGTCAATAGAAGTTGTTCTCTGGAGACAATAATATTATTAACCCAGCTAGAAAATATATTTAAACAAATGGGGAAATTGGTGTAGGACTTCAAATTTTAAAAGTGCTTCCTAGAAGTCACTCTATTTGCTCAGTGTGGCGAGTTGGATGACTAGCTGACAGACCGACTGAATGAGTGACTCCCCCTGAGTCGTTCCTCGGCTAATTTTCAACCGTGAAGTTCGGTGGCACTCGGTAGTCGCCTCTATTCTCACTTTCCTGCTCCAATTCTCCCACTTTTCCCCACTTCCCATTCCCTTTCTCATAAATCACAATGGCTTTGGCAAACAGGAAAGGTGAGTCACAACTTAAGCGGAAGGACAAAGTGTGGAAGCTGTTTAAAGGACTTGTTCAGGACTAGTTCAGACTTAAATGGGAGCCATTTCTGAGACAATTGCCGTTATTTCTCATTTAAAATATATAATTTATAAACCAAATTAATGATTAAAGGTCAAAAATATATATATATTTAACCTTGACTAGGAAAACGAGTAGAAATCGATCAAACTTGTGCCACGCATTATCCGTTCAATCATAGCGAAACACGGAACAAACGGCCCAATGGTTGTCATCGTAAATATGAAAATGGAAAAGTAAGGAAGTATTTAAGCCAGAAACTGGGGGACTTATTATGGTATGGTACGGTATGCTTCCCTGAGAAACGGGGACTACTTGAATGCTTTTAAAACAAGTTCATGTTCACCTTATGAACTTCAACTTCCGGCAAAACCTCTTTGCTCTCATTCACCTAATTAAAGCGCTTATTAAAAGTGTCCACTTTACCCCTCCAAATTCGAGTCAATTCACAATTTCAATCATTTTCACACGAGGAGGAGGAGGTTAGGGGGTCCTCATCAAGCTGCCAACTCCTGCGGCAAGTTGATTCATTTCGCAGAGTGTCTGAGGAGACGCCGCGTTTATGGACAAATCCCAGGAGCAATTTTTCGGGTCAGGCGGAGTATTAAGTGTGTTCGCCCTGTGAAGGTCCTTCCCCCGTCATTTATCACATGGCACACACTTCAGTTTATGGCTTTTTATTAGCATCCGCATAAAGTTTAAACGCCGCAAAAAAATATAAAAGAAAAAGAGAAGTTGGGCAACTTTTATTTATGACGCTTGTGTTGTAAAATTTAAATGGGTAGCCAATCCATTGTGCGTATCTATCGGTTTTGTGTATATTTAGCATCTTTATAACCAACCAAGATGAAGGTTTATTGTAACCCAACGCTAGATATTAGGATATACTCGTACTTGACCTATATATTGTAATGTTCAGACCTCTATACTTACCTATGGTCTCTAAGACAGTGAAGAGTAAACACAACCTTAACACAGAAATGTCACTAAATCAAACACACTTCTTCGGACTGGTGATTATCGCGACACAAGTCATACCAATAATATTTCACATATTTTTAAAAGTTAATAAATCATTTTTATTACCAAGAAAACTTAACAAGCTTTATAATTTTGGAACCTCAAAGCCCAAACACTTCTCAACATACCCGCTTAGAGCATATCAATATTGGACGTTCCGTTGCCGGTTGCAGTTCGCGTGGTCTTTGTCACCTGTTGATTGGTCATCAGAGGCGGTGGGCTACAGCACCACACCACCTGGACAATGGAAGTTATTTGTAAGAAAAATAAATAATTAAGAGAGTAAGTATTGCCCTCACCTTGCGGAAAGCCTTGCGGAAGTTGTCGGACAAGAAGGCGTAGAGTATCGGATTGATGCAGGAATTAGTGTAGGCCACCACATGCGAAATGATTTGGATGATGACCGACAGATGACTAGCTCCATAAAGATCCAGGGCCTTGAGCACAAGGATGACCTATAAGGGAAGTGGGTGAAGGAATATAGAATATAGTTTCTATCCACGAAGACTGGCCATATGCTGGCATTGATAAATGCAATTTGCACATCTTGTGCACATCAAGTGTCTGATTGTAATTTCGTTTGTAATTTGTGAGCACATTGATTTTGTGCAAATACTTTGAGTCCTGCCAAGTTGGAGGAGCCTCAGCAGCAGCTGCCGTTCGTCTTCCTTTTGGCTTATTAAACATTTCAGCAAATAAATTGTGACTGAAGGAAAAGAATATGTCAATTGATGGCAACTATCCCAGGGTCCTGGCCACTGTTTGCCAGGACATTCGAAGGCAGCTGTTGCTGGCTGCCAAGTGAGGCCTCTTTGAAGAAAATTTAAACATTAGTTATTAAGAGTAAGTGTAGAAGATATATGGCAGTAGAAAATGTAGTGTTAAATTTATATTAATAAGTAATAACTAGAAAGGAAGTTAACTTTGGAAAGACAAAGCAACAGCTAACAAGGGGTCTCATCAATACTAATTTGTTGATTATTTTCTTAACTTTTGTTGTATTCATTTTCCTACATTATATTCCAAGTATCAACTACATTTTGCATAGTAAAATTAAAGTAATATTTGAGCTATATATCAGGATAATATATTCAATTAATCAATTAGATTCCCAGACACTAGACAACCAAATGAATTGACCTTAATGAGTTATTTGCATGCTTTTTACTTGATATACATGTCATTCCTATGTACATCTGTATACATTCATATGTATATTTATACATATATATATTTTTATATATTCTTACATGAATTGGTAGCCAGCAGATGGCAAAGGCCAGAACGACAACAACAACCATCCGGGTGACGCGTCGCTTTCCCTTGCTGCAAAAAAAAAAAAAAAACAAAAGAAGAAAAAATCAGAGAGTTAGCCAAAAAGATTTATAGAGATATATCAGATGCTGGTATATGTATATGCTTTATGTATAACTTATGCTGCAGTTCAGTTGGTGAATTGTGCATTGCCTGCTGCTCGGTGATTTATGAACTTTGAATGCGTGGCAACTTCATTTCCATTCCAATGTAAAGCCTACAGCCTATTCGAATTCCTGTTAAATATTTACATCCACAAATATATATGGAAACGCACACAGATTGTGGAAATATATGACAGTAAATATTTGCCCATTAAAGTTGCTTGAAACCTAATTTCACGCGATTTATTTGATAGCCTTTTCTCTTTATTTTCATTTTCACATTTTATTTGTTTAAAAAGTTAAGTGAAATCTGCAAATAGATTGGCATTTTAAAGAAAATATTAAAATTGGATTTATTGCGTTTCAAAATAAATTATCTGAAAAAAATAATAAACAAAATAAATGCTTAATACATTTCAGGAAACTATCCAAAATTAGCAAATAAGATTGCTTCAATTTATTTAATATTTTTTCTTTTTTAAAGAACTACAACTTTTTAAGCTCAACCAAGGACTTGCAGAGAATAAAGTAAGTAGAATTTAATAGTGTTTCGTTTTCTGTAAAACCAAACTTGAGCAAAGTCTGTTTAAAGTATTCCCGATTGAGATTATGCAGAAGGAGGTTAAAAGTTAAAAGTTTATAAAAGTTAAACTTGAAATTAATGGTCGGTCGTCCTGATCACGTATGGGAAAGTTTCCTGTTTTTCTTATTCTGAGAGCTAAAGTCCCGGCAGTACAGACTTATTTACCAAGAAAAATAAAGAGAAAATGTCAATATAAAATATTTATTAATGATATTGGTTGAAAATATCGAAGGAAAATTGTGAATTAAACTATTGATGGAAAATCTTGTCGCTATAAAGATCTAACAAGTAAATATAATTAAGAGATTCTATAAATTTATTTTATTGAAAAATATCCTCCTTTGTTTTTGTCATTTAAAATTAGCTTCTTATTTGGCAAACAAACTGTACTGAACAATTTTTAAATAGCTTCCCTTTCTCCCCATTTTATATCCTGGACACCCTGGTCTTCCCCGATTTCTTGGGTGGAATATCACTCACATTTGTACCTACGAGGATTCCGGTTTCGTTAACCCCTCTCCCTCGACTACTTAAAAATGCATGAGCCAAGAGCCCCATGAGCCTTTCTAGCAGCCCAATAAAAAGACATCCATCATGGTGCACAGGAGCAGAAACAGAGAGAGAATCAGTAGCCGCAGGTGCCAGCAAAAGGTTCCCTTCCCACTGTACCCACTGCGTATACTTGATATTTTTTATTTCTATTTATTTTTGGTTTGAGTTGCTATACTCACCGTGACTCGGCGGAAGGTTTGCAGCCTGGAGCACTCTTCCACAGACGAGCCAGCATTCCGATGTAGAGGAAGCAAATCAGCGTCAACGGTGCCACATACGATGATAAAAAGAATGAGACCTGAAAAAAGGGAAAAATATAAGGAGAACTTGATTATTAATTCAGTTATTTTGAAAGGAATTTAAATCGAAAAATATGCTTAAAAAAATATTTAAAGTTAAAGTTTAGAAAATGTCAAGAAAATATCGAATATTTAAAGTACAGTTGTGGATCTATAAATATCGATATAGTTATCGATAAGCAGCTTGGACTGAAGGAGGATCTCTTAAAGAGAAGAGAGCATAGAATTGAACCCAAAAGGTTAAAGGATCTATTTCATAGAATATTATAATTGTTTTTCTATTCAACTAATGCTATCCGTCTGTGGAACAATCTGCCACATAGATATAAGACAATAAGGGCCGCAACTCAGTTTAAATCTCAAATAAAAGAATATTTAAAGAAAAATGTAATGTAAGAATAAAACAATTATTAACTAGAAGACATGTAGTAATACGTTATAGATATAAGTTCATATGTGTTAAAATTAAGTATATACAATTTCAAAATCTTTGTGACTAGCGCTACAATTATAAGTGTAAACTTGCTGTGCTAGGATAATATAATAAATAAATTAAATTAAAATTAAATATAAGGGAAATAAGAGTCTATTCAGTGACCAATTAAAGCAAATTGAATTGATTCGTATTGAAGTTTTATTATTTTCTTATTTAAACCCAACTTTCATTTAAATAATTGTATAAATAGTTTCTCCTTTTCTCCTTGCCAACATATTAATTTTCCTGCTTATCATTTTGTGTGTCTCTCGCCGGTCGAAGGTCCTTTCCTTCTGCCATCTGCTGCCATCTCAGCGGCTTTTGTTTTTGCATGGAAATTGTGAGAAGCGCTGACCCGTAATGCTGACCAGATACCAGAAATGAGTGCCAGACACTTTTCACTTCTCCCCCGGGAGCTACCCTTCCATCAGTCTCTATGGAAAGCACATCCTCTTTGCTTCGCCAGCTGCCGCTTAACAAAAGTCCCCACAGACCCAACAAATATATAGTAAGGATATGTAAATAGTCCTGAAATATGTCTGTGTGTGTGTTGACCCATTTGAGATAGGGGTTTCTGAAAAAAAGATAATGATGGAAAATACTCGTGCTCCTGCCAAACTATTTATGCTGCATTTTTTCTGAGAGGGAGAATTGCTTCGACATTACCCATAAACTGTACTAATGAATCGTTTGAAATCTATTTTTATTTAAGGGGATAAATATGCTAATTACGATTGCCTTATATTAACCAATTAATTAAGGAAGTTATTGTTGCATTTGTATATTTTAAATATATATTTCTTAAGTTTTCTCATCATCTAGTTTGCATTTCCGTCGTTTTGAATACCGTTTCTAAATGAATTTAGAACCAATTTTCCATGATTTCAAACTTCAATTAATCTTTGTTTTAATCTTAAACTATAATCCTTAAACAGATTCACCAAAAAATAACTTCATCCTTCGCAGTTAATTTCCTATTTAGCCAACCTTCTGCATTGTTAAGACCGTTTTAAAAAACTTTCGTTTGCTTTTTGAAATATTTTTAAGCTCAGAAACTGCGCTCGAATTGGTTGCTTTTCGTTCATTCTGGGATTTCCAATGAGCTGCAGGGCCTAAAATTCATTTATTGCCTCAACTTTCGAGGGGATTTCGTTTTGATTGCGCCTGCGGTTGGGTGGCTGCCATCAGCCAAGTGTAAATGATTAAGGGGAATCCCCTCTCCTCGCACTCCGGGCAGGAAAATGTGGGAAAACGAAAAGCGGAAAGCAGGCAATAAAAACAATAAAGCACACTCTTGGCAGAGCCAAATATGCACAAAGGTGCAAGCCAAAATAATATGAACATATATCAGTTCTGAGCCGCCAAATAAGGGCAGTGAAACGGAAAAGGTGCACTGGGAAAAATCACGACTACATGGGTTTAAATTATAAGAAAAATGTCTACAGAATATTAAATAGTTGAAGGAATGAAAGAAATAATTGAATCATAATACAAACTTTGATTTGTCAAATTAAAACTAATAATAAAGCTCACAAATTTATAAAGTTTTGTCAATGATTTATTTACACTTCTCGGAATTTAATTTACCTTTGTGTTTCTTGAAAAATAAATCAAATGAATAAATTCCTGAATACTTGTTATGTTCAATGGTCTGTTTTTTCTTTCAATTTTCAAAATGTGAGATAAATGGTGAAATATATTTATTTCTTTTTTCTGCGCATCAATGAAATCGGGCGGACATGCCGCAATTGTTAATAATCGTTGCCACGCCCATCGCATTCATATTCTGGGGGCGCTGAGAATGCCTGACATCGAAATCACTTTGTTGGGCTTGGGATTACCCAATGAACACGTCGTTCGTTATCGACACCGAAGCCAGGACAACGTGTCGAGGAGGAGTGACATAATCCGCCCTGACACTTCATCGGATTCGAATCCGAGTCCGTATCCAAGTCCCGGGGCTTCGCATTCAGATCTGGGCTTAATGATAGGCCGGATTTTTGATTACGACTGCTGCATATTGTAATTATTGGGAAATATTTCAGCGAAACAAATTTTAATGCTTTATTAAAAAGGGGAAAATTAACTATTTTATGAACAAAAGGACAACAAAGAACATTGAATTTAAGATGGACATACATGGAAATATTTTATTTAATATTTTTAGATACTTTTCTTATTAACTATATATATTTTTATATTTGTATTTCATTTTTTAATAGTTTTAAATCTCTTTGGGACAATACGATCTTGGCTGCTTTTTAGCCAAAGAAAAACAATTGTAAAAGTTAATTCCACGCCCAATGATTATCGTAAATGCACAAAATTGTGTTTCATTTGCTCAATTCCGAATTTTAAATTGACTTGAAAAATATATCAATGAGCCAAAACAAGGGCAATATCTTAATATCTAAAGTTGGTAAACTATAAAGCTCCCTTTTTGGCTGGATAGAAGGATACAAAATCTACACAGAACCAATAGATACGCACAATGGATTGCCATGAAATTGTACAGCATAAACAAAAGTTGCCCAACTTTAGAGGAACTTCTCTCTTTCTTTTATATTTTTTTGCGGCGTTTAAACTTTATGCGGATGCTAATAAAAAGCCATAAACTGAAGTGTGTGCCATGTGATAAATGACGGGGGAAGGACCTTCACAGGGCGGACACACTTAATACTCCGCCTGACCCGAAAAACTGCTCCTGGGATTTGTCCATAAACGCGGCGTCTCCTCAGACACTCTGCGAAATGAATCAACTTGCCGCAGGAGTTGGCAGCTTGATGAGGACCCCCTAACCTCCTCCTCCTCGTGTGAAAATGATTGAAATTGTGAATTGACTCGAATTTGGAGGGGTAAAGTGGACACTTTTAATAAGCGCTTTAATTAGGTGAATGAGAGCAAAGAGGTTTTGCCGGAAGTTGAAGTTCATAAGGTGAACATGAACTTGTTTTAAAAGCATTCAAGTAGTCCCCGTTTCTCAGGGAAGCATACCGTACCATACCATAATAAGTCCCCCAGTTTCTGGCTTAAATACTTCCTTACTTTTCCATTTTCATATTTACGATGACAACCATTGGGCCGTTTGTTCCGTGTTTCGCTATGATTGAACGGATAATGCGTGGCACAAGTTTGATCGATTTCTACTCGTTTTCCTAGTCAAGGTTAAATATATATATATATTTGACCTTTAATCATTAATTTGGTTTATAAATTATATATTTTAAATGAGAAATAACGGCAATTGTCTCAGAAATGGCTCCCATTTAAGTCTGAACTAGTCCTGAACAAGTCCTTTAAACAGCTTCCACACTTTGTCCTTCCGCTTAAGTTGTGACTCACCTTTCCTGTTTGCCAAAGCCATTGTGATTTATGAGAAAGGGAATGGGAAGTGGTGAAAAGTGGGAGAATTGGAGCAGGAAAGTGAGAATAGAGGCGACTACCGAGTGCCACCGAACTTCACGGTTGAAAATTAGCCGAGGAACGACTCAGGGGGAGTCACTCACTCAGTCGGTCTGTCAGCTAGTCATCCAACTCGCCACACTGAGCAAAAAGAGTGACATCTAGAAAGCACTTTTAAAATTTAAAGTCCTACACCAATTTCCCCATTTGTTTAAATATATTTTCTAGCTGGGTTAATAATATTATTGTCTCCAGAGAACTACTTCTATTGACGTTATATCTTTAGGATATCTTTCCTAACAATTATTATTTACTATTTGTTTTATTAACTTGTATAATTCATAAAAGATACTTATTATCATTGGGATATGTAAAGTTAAAGTCGTTTTACTTTCTCAGTGTCTTGGTTACTCAGGACGTTCCTCATTTGTTCGGTAAATGGAAATAGACGACAAAGCTCATTCATTACCACCCACTACCCACCCACTTTGGGAACAACTGTGGCTTCCTGTGTCACATCCTTCCGCCATGAAATGACTCTCTACCAGGACAGGATCAGGATTCAAACAGAGGGCTGGCGAATTGATTAATAGACCAAAGTTCAAGTAATAAACACAGCAATATAGGGGTAAATATGAGCGACTTTTTGGAACAGAAAAAGCATTTTTGATAAGGCTGATCTACTACTACTAAATGGGGAACAGAATGATGATGGAATTGTGTTCTCACACCCAAAATAGGGAAATAATAACTGCGAAATATGGCACTAGCTTTCATTTACCGGGACAGAACCAAGGACTCTTCTTGCAAATCAGAATCATTTCAAACGCTTTTTTGAACTTCGCCTATATCGGGTCAGCTTTTTGTTTTGAGTACTGGGTAGCTCACAGTCGACTTGAAACTCACCTGAAAGCCGACCAGACTCCAGACCTCCTCATCTGTGGAGAAGACGCAGGCGGTGCCGGCACTGCCGTGATACTGATAGTCGCGCACCGAGTGCGAGAGGGCCACTGGAATGGCGGTGGTGACGATTGTTATCCAGGCAAACATGATGGCCCTGCAGATAAATAGTAAATATGTAATAGGAAATATAAATTTAAAACTACAATTTAGTATTTATATAATTTTCTTAACAATATTAAATCCCTAAAATAAAATGAGTTCAGTATGGTTTTCGAAGCTTAATTAAACCCTCTGCTTTTGTTGCTAAGAATTTCTTATAAATCTGCTCTACCTTTCATTTATTTTTGTATAAATTTCTTGAGCAACGTGCCAAGTTTTTTAATCAAGAAAGCTGCCGTCAAAGTTTGCACTTGGACAAGAGAAAAATTCAAGGAGACTGCTTGACAGTTTTTGTGGGTCTTAATTTCTGGAAAGCTATCCTTAAATGACCTTAAAAAATGTGTCAGGAAGTTTTATGACAAATTCTTTTGAGGCTGCAACTTTTGTCTCCTTCTTTAAGGTAGATTTTCTTAAAGACATGATGTGCTATTTTTGGCTCAAAGGCAAAGGTCACATGCCACGGCACACGGCCTGCAGGTCGGAATGAAAGCCAAGCTAATTACAAAGGACAAATTGATGCAATTACTCTAGATGATATGGGGGAGTTTATGTGAAGGAGCTGAGGCACTCGCAGAAAAAATGTTCAATTTTTTGTTTAATTTTAGGGAAGCATAATGCCACCTTAATTAGGTCTAGGAAGAATGTATAAAAAGGAAGTCTTTTCACTTTTAAATTTTTTGTACAAATAAATTTGTTTTAATTGTATTTTTCCTATTAAATTATTTAGATTTTTGAACATAAAAGTAAAAGGTAAAGAGCACTTACAGTGTGGCATTGCGCTCGGTTCGCAGGGACATGCTCGTCACGGGATGGACCACGGCCAGGAAGCGATCAAAGGACATCAGCACCAGCGTGTAGACACTGCAAGTTCGTGGGGGGTGAGTATGGCAATAAATATAAGGTAATGCAAGGCTGGCTCACCTGCAGTGGCAGGTGACCACAATCATGTACTGGACGAACTTGCACCAAATATTGCCAAAGGGCCACTCGGGCAGGACGTAGTCGGTGGCCGTGAACGGAACGCAGAAGATGACAAACAGGATGTCCGAGACGGCCAGGTTTATAATCAGCAAATTGGTGGTCGAGCGCATCTGTTGGTTGGCCACAACCACTGCAAGGATATCGAAAAAAATATATAATAAATACAGGTAAAAATTACTTTATAAAAATTAGAATAGGAACTATCATGTATGAGCAGAGCTAGAAACTCTGAGAAATCCTCACGTCAAGGATCTGGCTGCCTTGGCAATGCTCGCTTTTACTTACTGCCATGTACTTCTTTGACCCCCATTTTCTACCTCTATTCTTCAAACCCCCCTTTGGTCTTTCTCCAAGCTTTTCTTTGTCCCCTGGAAAACCTCCACCCTTGGCTTTGGCCCTCCCAGTTTTTCTTTTCCCTCAATTACGCGGACAAAAGGCAGCAAACAGCTAGATTTCTCTACTGGCTGCTCTGGTGCTATCTGTGCACTGAGAGAAAGTATTCAGCAATCACAGGCATACATTAAATTAGGAAAGGGAAACGTATTTTAATTTTTATTATACATTTGAAGGAGGTACGACTAGTTTCCAGTTGAATCATTATTTATATTTCTAAATTAAATTAAATTAAAATTAAATATTTTTCTCTCTGTAAAAGTGTAGGGAAAAAAGTCAAACGGGGGAATACGGGCAAAACAGGAGTCTGGCATTGTTGCTTTCACTTTTTGACCCTCTGTCTTGGAGCTTTCCCTAACCCTTAGCCTTAGCCTTATCCACATTCTCCGTTTCTCTTTGTGTGTGAGCTGCTCACTCAGTTTTTATAGATTTTTTTTTATACATTTTTCTTGTCCACTTGCAATTAGCCAACAATTTATGTCGCTGCTCACAAAAGAAGCGTGACAAAAAGACAGACGAAACAAAAATATAAAAATAAAAAAATTAGTTGGCCAAAAAGAGGTCACAACACGGCTAAGAGTTGTAGCAAAATGTTATTTTTTGGCCCAGAAAAATATGGGTTGTCAATAGATTGATGCCAAAGAAAGTTTCACCTGTTAAGGCCAACAATCATTTAAGGGGAAGTGAGAATTTGACAGGTGAAATTGGATCAATTCAGGTGCCACAATCAACGGAAATTTGAAAAGTCGCGGCATACACTTGGAACAATTTTGGAAAGCTTGAAGAAAAAGTAAGACTAAGGAGGAAATATATATATTGAATGTAAGAATATTGAATGAATAATATTTAGCTTTTAAAGACTTTTACTTTTCATTTCTTAAATTAATAAGAAAATAAATACAACAATTCTTGCTTTCAATAAAATATTTCAATAATTCAATTACTTATCTAAATTATTTCAATTTATAAATATATATAAAATAAGGTTTTTTTTTGTTATATTAACACTTTTTAAGCTGGCTTCTTATTATAATTTTTTTTTAGTGCAATTGTACTTACAGCCAGGTGAGGCCGCAAATCAATTTTCTTTTCATATATATATTTAGCACAGGATGTTTTCAGGGTAAACAAAAAGCGCAAACCCCTCTCAGAAATAGGCAAAACCAACGAAGGACAATAAAGTAATAAGCTGCAGGAATAGGAATAGAAATGGGAAAAGGAATAACAATTGAAAGAACAATAACAATAAATACACAGGAACAAAATCATTTGGCTCACAAATAAAATGGGTAAATATTTCTATATATATTTTTATTATATTTATTTATTTAGAACAAATATTTAGTTCACCGGCAGGCCCATTTTAACATTTGCCGAAATGGTTTCTTGGGGCGTTTAATGTTTTTTTTTTGTGCACCGACTGATTGTAGGTTAGTTTTTTGGCAACAAATTGCCTTTTTATATTATTTTATCTTATTTGTATATCTATGAAATCGTTATGGGTTTCAAATCCCTTGACTAGGAACTCAAAAATATGAAATAAATTATTTAAAGTCACAAAAAGTTGTCTAGCTTTGACATTTTAATTATTTCGAAAGTATAAACCATTTATAATATTACTAAATATTTTATTGTTTAGTTAAGTAAGCAAATACCTCACTCGAACGCTAATAATTAAACAAATTTAAGCCATTACTCTGCACTTTACATAACCGAATTATTTTCGCTTCGTTAGTAATTTAAAAGGTTTTTTTTTTTTCCTTTTTCGTTCTTTAAAATAAGCCCCTTTGGCACTTCTATTTGCCTGGTTTATTTTCATCTATTACAAAAAAAGGGAATAAAACAACAATAGTCCGTCCCTATGGTTAACCAACTTTTTGTGGGCCCTCTTAGGGATTGCTTGAAAAAAGGGTCTGAAAGGGCAGTCTGAATTTTTGTTGGGACATTAACTTTTTCCCCACCATTAAAGTAGAAACTGTGCCAGTTTTTGTTGAACAAAATAATAAAGAGTAGTATAATTTATGGGCCAGAGCCTCTTCAAGCACAAAAAAACTCCTCTTATTTAAGAGCAGCAAAAGAAGAAAGAAAGAGGCCTTGGCTGAGGGATATTACACATAAACAAATAATCAGGCAAGCACGTGTTGCCAGTGTTTCCTAGACAGGATTTCCTGTTCACTCGCATAAATTCACTTTTATTGAACTTTAATGTCACCCTAATGCCTCTGGCATCGTCAGCCCTACTTCCTTGCTCCTGAATGCTCCTTCTTGGCCTCCTTTGTTTAGCCTGTAATTGATGCATTTCAAGTGCGTGTGCACGTGGCGTATACGTAATGTGAGCCTTATTTAAGAGCAGAGTGTGGAAAGTTTAAACAGTATACCACAATGCTATAAACAGTGATTAAGTTCGTTGATATCTATTGCTTAAAAGTATATTTTTATAAGGAAATGTATCTTAAATTATAAATATTCCTTATATATTGCACCCTTTGATTATATGATTTTTCTTTGATTCTCAGGTTTAGTTTCTAATAAAACCATTTCAAAAATACTTAAATTATCTTTATTATCTAAGTAATTTCCCAAGAGTTAAGTAACTAATTGAAATTCCTCGACTGTGTAATGTTTTAATTACTCCCAAATGCAGTGACTTCTTGGCAAAGCAACAGAAATGATTTCAAGAGATTTCCCCACACTTTTATTGGAGAAATTAACGAGTTTAGAGACCATTGAAATCATTGCTCATTTCTAATATATCGGTGGCATAATTTCAATTGCACTGAATTTTATTTGCAATTAAAAGGAACAGCATCGCAGACTTAGAGCTACAGAGAAACTCGGCAAGGCTTTTGTTTTATGATCCAATTAAAGTCGCCTGAGGGTGGGCTTAGGCCTCCCTTCCTTTTCAGACCTTGGATCATTAAGTGCATAAATGATTGCCATATGGGAATGTTGGAATTTGGGTTTTGCAGTTGCTAGGGAAATCCCGCACAGTTGCTGCTGCCCCTTAACTATGGCAATTAATTTAAAATTTAATGCACAGCAGAGGTAGAAGAGAGGTAGATGGGACATCCTGTTTTGGCACATGAATATATCCGGTTACAAAGGACCAGACCGGACAGAGCCTTTGTCCAAGGTCCTTTTCTGGAATCGGTGTCCTCGCCCAGCCTTCATGATATCTGTTTTGCCTTCCTTTCCTTTATTTGCATCATTTGCCAGCCTATACAAATACAATTTTAATGTCGGCAAGCAGAAATCAGTGCAAGTCCTGGCAGCTCAAAAGGAAGGGAGGATACTTTCCAGGGAGTACTTTGCATAGGGCAGATTGGTTTGGGTTTTATTTGGTTTGCGTTCTATTTATAATACATGAATCATTAATTTAATTAACATTAATTTTTTAACTATTATTAATTTCTCTGATTAGTTATTATAGAAAAAGAATACTGAACTTTAAAATGGAGAATAAACATTATTAAAATGGAAAATGCTCTTTTAGAGGCTCAATTTACTTAGTCTAATATAAATTAGCTAACTATTTGATCTTAAGTCAAGTGAAAAATAATAAAATAATTATAAGAATAATATTCTACATTTCAGATTTGTTTTCAAGTACAAATTTAAAGTTTCGCCAAAGTCAGGACCAAATTTGAGATATAAGCTTAAAGCAGCTGCCACTCTGTGGTACCCTGTGATTGCCCAAAGTATCTTTACCTTTGAAATCGACACATTTTCTGAATAATGGTGCTACTTTACTAAGCTTTCGCAATGGAAATCACCATGAACATTAGCATAGGTGCCAACGACATCGGGACATCATTACCATTGCCAAGCAAATGCGAATCAATCATCCAGAGAAGCTGTCAGACAATCACACCGGAATAAACAAATAATTTAACTAAATAATATATACCTAAAGATTTGTTTACTTTTACATTAAAGAATATCATTGTATTCCTTAAAAATTGAATATATAAAATTATTGTAAGTGCAAAGTAAGCCATATTTTGGTAAAGAAAAATAAATATTTTGTCCAGTGCAGCGGAAGTGGCATCCTTATGCAGGATTTCATCGGCAAGAAACCCTTTTAGGATTTTGCCCCACTCTTTTCTTTCTTTTCTTTATTTTTTGATTCTTTTATTTTGTCTTCTTGTTAGGATGACGCTGCATGGTGGGATTATTTATAGGATTTGCATCAGGCAGAGGATGAACTACACAAAGAGAAATCTAAGGACACCTGGCTGTGAAGGCGAGGGCGTCGCCACATTACAATATGGCCATCATGGACATGTGCATATGTGTTGACAAGAGCGAGCCACAAGTGTGTGGGAAGGACGAAGAAGAAGTCGTCGAAGGGAGGACATACTTGCCATCCACTTTAAGGTTTTATTTGCTAAAACTTTTGTGTTATTTACCCCTTCTTTCGTTGTTATTTGTTTAAATAAAGAAGAACAGAATGGAGGTAGAAAGGAATGTTCAAGTCTCATAAACTTGAAATTCAAATTTAAAAATATTATACAACTCGGAAAACATAGTTCTAGAAATGGGGTTAAACATTATAAATATTTAAAATTAGCTTACAGGATCTCATAAACTAACTTTAATAGAGTTTCTTTAAATAATTCTTATATTATTAAAAGAATATGTAATAAAAGCGTTTGAAAGTTCCTAAATACAACAGACAAAAATATATATATTATTATTATTATTATTAAATTATTATCTATTTAAATGTATAAATTA